TTGTTTAGCTTTTTGTTTGGAAGATCTATTCAGTGGTGAGAGAAGTGTATTAAAGTCACCCAATATTATCGTATTGTGGTCTGTTTGACTCTTGAACTTGAGAAGAGTTTGTTTGATGAACATAGATGCTCCATTGTTTGGGGCCTAGGTATTTATGATTATTATGTCTTGTTGATGTATGGTTCCCTTAAGCAGTATGAAATGTCCTTCTTTATCTCTTCTGACTAACTTTGGCTTGAAGTCCACTTTATCTGATATTTGGGTGGAAACCCCTGCTTGTTTCCGAAGACCATGTGAGTGGTATGATTTTTTTCCATATTTTTTTCAGTATGTGGATGTCTTTTCCTATGAGATGAGTTTCTTGAAAGCAGCATATTGTTGATTTTTTTAATCCAGTCTGCCAGTCTGAGTCTTTTAATTGATGAGTTTAGGTCATTAACATTCAGAGTTATTATTGAGACATGGTTTGTATTCCTGGTCATTTTTGTTTATTTTTGGCTTTTAATTTGAGTTTGTTTCTTTGATTGGATTTTCCTTTAGTGTACTTCCTTCCTTTGCTGATTTTCATTGTTGTTTTTCATTTTCTCCTCATGGAATATTTTGCTGAGAATATTCTGTAGTCCAGGCTTTCTCATTGTAAATTCTTTTTTCTATCATGGAAAGTTTTTATTTCATCATCATATCTGAAGCTTATTTTGTTGGATATAAGACTCTTGGTCGGCATCCATTTTCTTTCAGAAATGGTATGTATATGTTGTTCCAGGATCTCCTGGCTTTAATGGTCTGGTTTGAGAAATCTGTTGAGATCTGAACTGGTTCCCCCTACATGTAATCTGAAACTTTTCTCTTGCAACTTTTAAAATTCTATCCTTATTCTGTATGCTAGGCATTTTCATTATAATGTGCCTTGGGTGAGGATCAGTTGTGATCTTATTTATTTATTTATCTATTTATTTATTGTGGTGCTGGGGATTGAACCCAGGGCCTCGTGCATGTGAGGCAAGCACTTTACCAACTGAGCTGTATCCCCAGCCCATCTGTTGTGATTTTGTACATTTGATGTCCTGAAAGCCTCTTGTTTTTGATTTTCCAATTCATTCTTCATGTGGGAAATTTTCTGATATTATTTAATTGAAGAGACTGTACAGTCCTTTGGTTTGTATCTCTCTGCCTCCCTCTATCCCAATAAATCTTAGATTTGGTCTTTTCATGTTGTCCAATAATTCTTGGAGGTTCTGTTCATGGTTTCTCACCACCTAAGCTGTGTGGTCACCTTTATTTTCAAGTTTATATATTTTGTCTTCTTTGCCTGAGGTTCTATCTTCCAAGTGATTTTAGTCTGTTGTTGATGCTTTCTATTGAATTTTTTATTTGGTTTATTGGTTCCTTCACTTCAAGGATTTCTGTTTTTTTTTTTTTTTTTTTGTTTTGGTTTGTTTTGTTTTGTTTTTAAGAGTCTCTCTCTCTTTTGTCTTGTGCTGGGATTGAACCCAGGACCTTGTGCATGTGAGGCAAGCACTGTACCATCTGAGCTATGTCCCCAGCCCCTCTATCTCTTTTCTTTTTTCTTTTTTTTAATATCTATTTTTTAGTTATAGGTGGACACAATATCTTTATTTTACATTTACGTGGTGCTGAGGATGGAACCCAGGGCCTCACGCACACTAGGCGAGCACTCTACCATCAGCCTCAGCCCCAGCCCCCGCCCCCTCTCTTGACGGGATCTTTTACTCCTCTCCTGTCTCTGTGTTGGGGTGGCCAACTGCTGCCTGTAYTTGCTCTCTTGATTCATTCTTTCCTTTGCAGACGATTTTAATTATCTACTTTCTGAACTCCTCTGACATTTCATCTGCTGTGCAGTCAATGGAATCTGTTAGTGCATTAGCTGGTGTGTTTCCGGCACTTTCTTCTTTTGTTTATTCATACTGTCTGGGTGTCTTCCTCTCCAGCAGTGTGGATTTGAGGTATTACTGTTCCTACCTTGTAATCTTGTAGTGCCCCTGCAGGTCACCCACACCTTGCCTGCAGGGACCTGGGCAATGGCATTGTAGGTCCTGGCTCTTGTAGGGGAAGGCCACCCCACATTCACTGGTAGATGGGGTGTAGCGCCCGTGGTGCGTGCACAGTCACTTTGCCCCTATCTCGCGGCAGTCTCTGCTTCTCCCTGGATGAGGTGTTATTTCAGAACTGGCCTTCTGTGAGTGGCCACAGTCACCAGCCTGTTCCTGGTAGCAGTGTGGTGTTGGCTGCAGGGCAGCCCCTAGGGAGGACTGTGGACGGCCRCCTGCTCAGTTGCACAGAAGCTCCCTGCCCGTGGTCTTCCATGAGGGCCAGAGCATGTTTGTTTCCCCACCAGTTGCATTTGGTACTTTGGGATTGACTTCAGCAGTTTACCCTTCAGAAAGTTGTCTGGAGCAGTGAAGGAATGGATGGCTTCTTAACTTGGCAGCCTTTAGGGGCATCGCTATGTGTGATGAGTTCTGGAAACCCATTCTTTAATTACTTCACACATTGGAATTACTTTGAGAATAATGTGGTGTGGTGATCCAGACATCCCTCCTTCTCAGAAGGACCCGTTTTGTGCCTCAGTCTTTTGTGTTCTATTCGTGACACATTCTCTGTTGGAGAATCATCCATCTTCCAGTGGTGGGTGGTGCCCTCTGGTCACTGGAGATGGAGTTTTCTGTGTGCAGGTTTCAAGTTTCACATTCAGCTATCTAGACCACAGGAGACTGTTGTCCCAGCTGGATCTGTTGTTATGGTGGGAGATGTACTTTGCTCCTTTGCCCGCTTTCTGAGCAGTTCTGGTCCAGTCTGAAATGTGAGAGTAAACACTGCAAGGTCACCCAGCTCTAGATGGCAGTTCAGGCTGAACAGGAACACCCGGGAGTCCGCTCTTGGCAGCCTGCAGGCAGCTGCTGTCTAGCTCACGGACTCTCTTAGGATGCGTGTTAAAGTCAGGTTTCATAGTGTGTACTTCTGCTGGCTGGCTGTGTAGTCTACTAGATGCCATCTACCATTAGAAACAGCTCCCTGCATAGAGAAAGGTCCAGAACAAAGCCACASCCTTGTTTATTACCATGTGGTTCACTTTTAAAATCCCTTTGTGTTATTGAACTGTGGACACCCTGGCGTAGACTAAATTCAGAGGAAGAAATGTAACCGGACGTGACAGGCTAGAGATGCAGAGCTCTTAATGAGTGTGGAGGAGGCCTTGGGTCAGGCACTGGACATGCCACCATTCGTGGTTTCTTGTGAGTCCTCCTCGAGATGGCACTGCTGTGTTTCATGTTACGAGTGGCAGCATCAGGATGATTTTTCAGAGATTGGAAATGTGATGTCATCTTATTTGTGCCTTGTATTTTATGAATATTTTGCAGGTTCTAAAAAATGATCTATTTTCCCTAAAATTACATAGCATGTTGGTTCTCTCTCTCTCTCTCTCTCTCTCTCTCTCTCTTTTTGTGTGTGTGGGGCTAGGGATTGAACCCAGGGCCTTGTGCATGCAAGGCAAGCACTCTACCAACTGAGCTGTATCCCCAGCCCAAGCATGTTCTCTTAATATTCATCTTAACTGCTGGGCACAGTGATGCACGCCTGTAATCTAGCACGTGGGAAGCTGAGGCAGAAGTATCATAGGTTGGAGACTGGCCTCAGCAATTTAGCAAGGCCCTAGGCAACTTAGTGAGATCCTATCTCAAAATAAAAAATAAAAAGGACTGTGATATAGCTCAGTGATAACATGCCCTGGGTTCAGTTGCCAATACCCCCCACATACCCACACACACAAGAAATATTCCTGTTAACCGTTCTATTAAACTATTTGAAAGTGCTTAATATTTGACAATAAGCATTTTGGGTGGGSGCACTAAGGACTTTAACACTGACCTATATCCGCAGTCCTTTTAAAAACTTTTTTTGAGAAAGGGTCTCACTGAGTTGCTGAAGGTCTCACTAAGTCGAGAGACTGGCCTTGAACTGGAAATCTCCTGCCTCAGCCTTGCGCATTGCTGGGCTCCAGATGTATGCCACTGTGCCTGGTGATAGTAGGTGTTCATTGTAGCACTTAATTTGCAATAAAAAAACTGATAGAATTCAACACAAAGTACAGGATAAAGTTTTATTCTAGGTATCAGAGTTTTATTCTTGATATCAAGAATGCTCTCCACATTTGAATGTGAAGTTTCAGATATTAAAAACAAATCTAATGTCTCTGAGTCCCAATGGGAGGAACCTAGTCAGTTTCTTTTGGCAGTTGGAATGGAGAAACTTGGAAGCTATGGGTGGTCAGGGTGTGGGTCAGGTGGAGGAGAGAAAGCCAGGTGCAAGTGAGAGGGAAAGTGCTAATGGCAGGAGGAAGCAGAGCAGGGCGGCGGCTCCTTGGACCCTGCTCCTTCCTCAGTGCCTGGCTTCAGGTGCGATTCCTGTCTGAAACCTGAACACGTTCCCTTTTGTGCCGAAGCTACCTTAGTGGGTAGTTACTTGTAACCACTTGGCAACTTACTTGATTGAAAGAAAAACAAGAAAGTGAGGTCTTGAAAGTAACTAAAAAGTCTGACACTCTGCCTGGGTGTCATACTGAGACTGGGTGACAGGTGGCAATGTCCATCCCATATGTGGTGCTGCTGTAGTCCTGCGGCTGCATGCCAGGTGGGTGGCTCACACCTGCCGGCTCACTACTCCTTGCACTCCTGGAGGAGACAGTGACCCTAGCCCTGGTGATGAAGATACTCACGGTGTGGCCCTGAGGCTCGTGGCTGAGCTGAAGCCAGGGTTCTCGAGGATGTCGGCCGAGTCAGGCCTGTACCTAGAAGATGCTTTTCCTTCACAGTCTGTCCTTATTGGCAAGTTTTATGATGCCAGCTGACCTAAGCGTCCAGGGCTCTTGGAGCCTGCCCACAGCTGGGGTCCCAAAATGGTCAGCAGCTTTGTGGTCCCTATGTGGACAGTCCCCCTGACTGCAGCTTGCTGTGATGTTCTGCTTTGTCTTCCCACCACAGGAATGTGGATCTGAGAGAATATTTGTCTGAAGAGGTCCAGGCAGTGCACAAGAACACCACCTACGACCTCATCGCCAACATTGTGCACGAYGGCAAGCCCTCTGAGGGCTCCTACCGCATCCATGTGCTGCACCATGTGAGTRGCCAGCGCCTCCTGCAGGAATGGCRTGCCCCTTAGGCACGGCCTGCCCTTGGGACAGCATTGAGCATCAGTCGGTGGTTTAGGGCGGCAGGCACGCTGGGGAGCTTTTTAGAACCCTGAAGCCTGGGCTCACCCAGGTCCACCAGGTGGGGGCCAGTGGTACTGCTGGAGGTCCCACAGTGCACTGGATGCCCTGCCACAGAGACTGTGGTCCAGAACGTCCTGCCAAGGTTCAGAGACTCTGGCTCCTGGAGGTGGAGAGAGGCATGGTGGTGTAGGTTYCTGGAGGTTCTGGTGAGCAGCCAGGGTTGAGACCCTGTCCCCACCAGAGYCCCACCTGGCAGAGTGGGTTCTCAGCCCAGGCGTTGGCATCCCTGAGTGCAGTGGGACTGCAGAGGCTCAGCCTCCTCAGCCCACGGAGCTAGAACCTGCACTTAACAGACCTGATCTTTAGGAATTCAAACTTCAAGAAGCACTGGTTTAGAGACTTTTTTTTTAGCTCACAAGTTTGTGAATTTGTCTCAAACTGAAAACAGAAAACATGAACTGAGATATATTTGGTATCAGATTTTTAGCATAAATTGTTCTAATCCGATTAGTCTCTTGGAATGTGGGTTTAATAATCACTATGTGTGTTTATCAGTGCTATTCTGAGTGCTAGGACGCATACCCAGTGCTTCCTGTATGTCTCATTTCTGTCCTTACACACAAACCCAAGGCAGATGTAGTCTCTTCTCTACAGATAAATTGAGGCTCAGCATTGAGTAATTGTCTGAAGTCAGCAGAGCTGGGATTTGGTCTTTGGCCTCAGAGCACAGGCCATGGCCAGGGGCCCAGGGCTGGCTTGCTTGCTGTCCTCTGTCTGCACTCTTGGAGTATCCAGGAGATCTGCCGTGTCTGTTCTGTCATGCTGCTCTCAGACAATGTGAAGGTGCGGCAGGAGGACTGCTGCAGGAGCTGCCTGGCTCTGGAGCACAGGGAAGCCTGTAGTGAGGTAGTCTCACTGGCATTGCTGGAGCAGTGGCAAACAGTGGCAAACAGTGACCCCCAGAAACACTTCCCTTGACCTTCTTTGCTGCTCTTCTTGGGGGAGGTTCTCCTCCTAGCCAACTCTGGCCCCTCCTGCCTGAGTGTGTCTGCTCTGTCACCAGCACAGGAGGAGACAGCGAGGGTGAGCATGAGAGGCAGCCTCTTCCTGCTCTTGGCATCTGCCCAGTTTCTTCTTAGGAGGTGGGCAGGGGTGTGTGAGCCTCTGCTGCAGGAGTCAAGGTGGCTGAGTCCTGCCCTCCTCCCTTTGCCTCTGTGGCAGGGTCTCATGACTCCGGGGTATGGTCCCTTCCTTCTGCACTGACCCAAACTTTCTGCCGTCTGCAGGGCACTGGCAAGTGGTACGAACTGCAGGACCTGCAGGTGACGGACATCCTGCCCCAGATGATCACACTGTCGGAGGCCTACATTCAGGTGGGTGTGGGCAGGGTGGAAGTGGACTGAGAGGGAGGGAGCCCCAGGAGGTTCTGAGAGAGGCTCAGCTGATTACCTGGTCCAGAAGGTCAATCAGGTTTTCAGAAGAGAAGAGTAGGGGAGTGTGAGAATCTGTGAGTGAGCAAACCGGGTTGCGTTTGTGGCCAGGACCCTGAGCTCTGCCCAGGGCCCCGGCACAGCCAGTCAGCACTGTGCTTTGTCCATCTCTGTTTTGGAGTGCTGACTGTGTTATTTTGACTGCTCCAGTGGAGTGAGTGCCTTCGAGGCGGGGTCTTCCTTTGTAACTACTCTAGTTAGAAGATAACAGAGGGAAGACTGAGATGTGAAAAGCCGTGCCTTTGTAGAAGAGAAGGAATGAGTGTTGGAGAGGTGACTGTCTCCTCTGTGGCTTCCTCCTGGGTTGAGACTTGGCCATGCCTCTTTTGGGCTGTGGGGTCTTTTGGTGCCTGGGATCGCTCCTAGGGCCTTGGCATGTGAGTCGTGCTCTACACCTGAGCTGCACTCCCAGCCCCTGTGGGTCCTTTTTTAGAAAGGAGCTTTGAATGGAAGGTAAGAAGAGGAAAGGCTGGGTGGGGTCAGGGAATAGGGACTGAAGGAATGTCCTGGCTGGTGATGGTGGCCAACGCATGGTTGGGTGCCAATTGCCCGCTGCGGATGGAGAAACGTCCTCTTTCCTGACAGATATGGAAGAGGCGGGATGCCGGGGAGACCAACCAGCAGGGGGCATGAGGCCGGCCAGCTTCCCCCTGAGGACAGCCCAGTGAACAGGACCAGAAGTGGAGCCGAGCAGAGGCAGGCTGCAGGTGCCGTGGGTCCTRGCTACGCCAYGCATTGAGGGGCCCTCCACCAGTCCTATAGAAAGCGCTCCTCCCTCCTTCCTGCCGTCCTCTCAACTGCAGCAGGCTGAGTGCTTTGCAGGTGGCTGTCCTTTCTCTTTAACAGCTGGTGCACTGAAGGGTGGATGATTCCTCGTAGACGTCAAGCCTCAGGGTTGTGGGAGTCATATCATGAAGCCAGTCACGCCTTCTCCTCCAGGGAGGTGGTTCTCTGTGGTTCCCTTAGGTCCTATGGGTTTTTGGATGGATTAAATTCTCTGTTTTTAAGCCAGCCTTCTGTCCTATGTGCGTCACCCGCTGCTGGCAGATGGAGGCTGACTTGCCTCCTTTCCCTATGCTGCGGCCTGTCATCTGGCGGACACCCTCCTGTCTCCTCCTGCCCACTCGAAGGTGGTGTCACCTGGGATGCGTTTATCTCTAAATCTGGAAGTGACAAGTTGTTACTGTGCTGGACCCGAGGCTGGGTGGGAGGTCCAGACTGCAGCTCAGCCCTCCGAGGGAGTTCTCAGAAAGCCTCGGCCAGGCCAGCGCAGCGCCCAGAGCAGGACTGCCAGTCAGGAGCTCAGGCAGACATGGCCTTGCAGGTGGGCCTGGCGGCTGGACCTGGGTGCTGCTGCAGGTCCACAGGAGCAGGGAGCCTTGCACACAGTGGTAGGTAGCCAGCCGCTCCCACGGAGCCACAAGCACGCTTGCTGTGCCCGGCACTGTCCTCCTTCCCCTACCTCGCTGGCAGCGAGGTTTACTTTCTGGGCCATTTCAACTCTGCCTGTGGCCTCGCTTGTCATGTTAAAAGCATGATTCATAAACAAACCTTCCCCAGAACTTCTCTAAGGTTTGTTATGTTTTGTTTTAGGAAAAACGTTGCCAGACTGGTCTCAGACTCAATCCTCCTGCCTCAGCCTCCCTAGTGGCTGGGATTACAAGAGGGCACCACCATACCTGGCTAAATTCTCATCTTTAGAGCCAGCTGCCTACTTAATACAGTTTTGGGTGTGTTAAAGTCAACTCACACTGAACATTTTCAAAACTGAGTTTGTGCAGTTTTCTCTCTAACAGCCCCTTTCCAGTGTGTCCTGGGTGAAAGATCCCACCACTCCTCGTTACGTCAGCTGGAGATGGCCCAGGAGTCACCCTGGACAGCCCTCCAGCCCCTCGTCAGCTGTTGCCGTGTCCTGGCAGTTTCCCTGTCATCTTYTGCCACCATGTGGGTAGCAGGGGCACAGCACAGTCTGGTCAAGGAGGGTTTCATTTCAATGATTCATAATGGTAGCAGGTGGGAGTGACCAGGGTTCGCCTAGTGGGAAGAGCGGCAGACATGGGAGGAGCCGCTGTATCTAGCTTGAGGGCGCTCGTGGCCTTGCTGAGAATTGGGGCCAAGTGTGGTTCCAAACATGTGTAGAACATGTGTGCCTCAGAATACTAAAATTCTGCTTTGTAGCACTTGGGGAAAGCCATTCGAAGTGGTGTCCCTCCAAGGCACCCTAACAGGACTTTCCAGGGAGGGGAGGGTCAGGTGGGGCCACTATGCCCCGCAGCAGCTGCGGAGGGAGAATCTACTAGCACCACTGGAGTCTGCCCTTCCTGCGGGTCTGCAAAGCCCTCTTCTGACGAAGCCTGTATGTCAGCTCTCCAAGGAAAACCTAAAGGGCTCTTTTCACAACARAGGCCCAGAGAGCCATTTGGAAGTGAGGGGTGGTGAGTTGCTGACTGGCAGGTCTCCGCTTGACAGCTCAGCTTCCATATGCGCTCGCACTCTGCTTTTATCTGAGTTCTCGAACAACAAAGGTGGAGGTTCTGAATTTCTGCATAATACATTTGCCCTTTTCATGAGCAAACAGTTTTCACCTGTACCCAAAATGAGACGCAGTCCTGGGCGGGGGGTCACTGTTGTTACTCCCACATCCAGTCACCATCATACTGTATCCTGTTATCTGAAGATGAGGTTATAAAGTTAACTTCCAACAACTTGTAGCTACATAAAGATGGGAAAATGGTCACAAATGGTCAACAAGTGGATCATCGTGTGTGTATGACATGTAAGTGACAGTAAACACAAAGCCAGGCACAGTGGCACACACCTGTGATCCCACACTCTTCAACTTGTAAGAGCCTGTATTGAAAGAAGGGAAGGGGATGCAGCTCAGTGAGAGAGCACCCTTGTTCAGTCCTCAGTCTCAGGGAAGCAATTTTCTGAGTTCTTTCCTCCTGCTGGCCACTCCACCTGTCTCTTGTCTCAGCTGGAGTTAGCCTYGGCTTCCTCGCCAGACCCGAGCTCTCCCTCTTGTTTTGGGAAACACTTAACACTCTGTCCTTCAGCAACTGCTGCTGCTTACTCCAGCACCGTCCTCCCAGTAGGCCCAGGATTGTGATGAGTTTACCAAAGACTGCCTCTGCTCAGATGCAGAGGCCTGTGTCTCATGCCTGGCCCGAGAGCAGGATGCGCAGAGCCTGTCCTGGTGCATGAACAGTGGGGTGGAGGAGGGCCAGGACAGACTCAGAAAGCCCCAAGCCAGAGGCAGAATGTGCATCCTGCTGTGGGGTCCCTCCTGCAGTTCCTGGGCTCCAGGTGGAGGCCAGGCAGGAGGCTGCTGGAAAGGCAGGAGATGGAGATGGGGTGCCTACTTGCCCATGGGGGGAGAGGGAGGTCCTGCAGCCCCAGAGCACCTCCAGGACAGTGCCCAGATCATGCCAGTGCATAGGGCTTTATTGGCAGTGTTAGGGCTTGGCCACTCAGGATCTGAGCCTGTCTGCACTGCCMCACTGAGGTTTGAGCAGAATAGTCACAGCAGAAGGGCTGGGGCTGGGGCTCAGTGGTGGAGCGCGTGCCTAAGCATGTGTGAGGCACAGGGTTACATCCCTAGCACCACGTGAAAATAAATAAAGGCACTGTGTTCATCTGCAACTAAAAGTATTTTTTTTTTTTTTATGTCACAGCAAAAATAGAATCACCCTTGGAACTTTGAACAAAAAAAAGATGAAAACCCTCTCTCTCGTTTTGCTCTGGGGGGTTGAACCCAGGATGCGTTTCAGGCTAGCTCCAGCCATACCCAACCCAGAAATCCCTGTCCTAACAAAGCAGCAGCTCGCAGGCAGAGCGTCTCCGACATGGAATTTTGCCCAGTCACCTCCCATCACCCAGGGCATGGAGTATCCACCTTGCACAAGCCAAGGGTTTCCTGATTTATTTTTAAAAAGCCTAATGTAAGGATTTTGTGTGTTTATCAGAGTACATTATGATCCCATTTTATTCTGAATTTTGAACTTCTTGGAAGTGTTGGCAAACAAGACGCTGGTCTCRAGCACGTGGGGGTCAGTGTGGACTGGCCCAGTCGCTCAGCTGTCCTGGAGCTTCGATGTTCCCTCCCAGCCGCCCTGAGCGGTGGGAGCTGGCTTGGCTCTGGTGCTGTGAAGGTCAGAAGCAGCCTCTGCAGACCTTGTCCAGAGGGCACTGTTCTTGCTGACCTTACTGAGCACAGAGTGGCTGGGGCCAGGGCTGGACCACTCTGGCTGGTGGTCCACCAGTGTCACTTTKCAGGGGAAGGCGAGTGGGGTGAAGCTCCTTCCAGCCAGGGCAGCTGGAAGGGCAGGGCCACAAGGAGCCTTGCCACGGTGGCTAGAGACCCTCACCCACTTCTTCCTTTGCCCTAAGGAGGGGGACATATAGGGGGGGACCTGTATCTTGCCAGGGGACCCGCCACAGTTGACGGCAGAGCTGGGGCTGCAGCCAGGCCTCTTTCTGTTTCAGTGGCAGCTCTGAGAACTGGGGAATGCTCTGTCCCTCTCTTTGGTGGCCCCTCACTCCAAGGTCCCTGGCCATCACCAGTGGGGAGGGATTTATTAAGCTGACCCCTGTGAGGTAGGTCTGGGTCCAGGCACGTGCCCCAAGTGCACGTGACACCAGGGCTCCAGGGTAAGCTGGGCTTCTTCCTCTTCTGCAGGAGGGCGGGCCTCACCGCCTCACCACATGACCTCGGCTGTAGTCCTCYCGCCAGCAGCCCTCACCAGCCACAGGCCCTCCCTGCCTTCTTACAGAGCAAGTGGTGAAATGCATGAGGACCCTCCTGCTCTCAAGGTCATTGGGGCCACCTTCCATCCCATGTACTACCTTTGACTTGGGAAAGGATGGTGAGGGGGAGAGGAGGGACTTCAAGCCTTTGGACTCAGATGGCTGTAGTGTTCCTGGCTCTGAGGGGCAGCAGCCTCTGGAGGCAAAGCTGATTCCCCTGAGGTTGGGACACCTTGTCTTGGCCTGAGTACATCAGGTCACAAAGGCAGCTGGTCTGAAGGCCCAGGCAGAGCGGAGGAGGGCTGCTCAGGGCGGGGGGCGAGGGCTCTGAAGGGAGGGGTGGCCTCCCCTGAGAAGGGCCTCTTCCTGGTGGGGCCTGGCACTGTGCCCAGAGCTATGCCCAGAGGTGGCTGGAACCGCCTGCAGGAGTGGCCACCTCTCACTGCCCCGTGACAGCCCCTGCCCTTCCCTCCCCCACGTAGGTCAAGACTCACCTGGAAGCTGGGTCCTCAGAAGAGGGGSCTCTGGAGACACTGGAGGGGGCTGAACTTGGTGGCACACACCCCCAAGGCCTGCCACAGGGACAGAATTGGGACTTCAGTGCCTCACTCCTGGCTCTGGGACATAGGGTTAGTGCTGTACCTGCCTTCTCATGCCACCCTCGTGTGACTTAGTAGACCCAGGCCACTCCCCGAGCCACTGCCTGCAGGCCTAGAGCTAAGGAGGAGGCTGCTGGCCCAGGACACCCACCGGGGCCCTCGCCAAGCACACTGGCCAGTGGCTGTAGGCCAGCAACTGTAGCCCAGTCAAGGAGGGCCGCAGCCGAGCCTGACACAGCCCCCATCTCCCGTGACACTTTCTCGGCTTCTTCTAGGCCAAGGCCTGTTCTGCATGAGAACACAGGCGCCTCATTTTGGTACATGTCACTCCTGATCCAGGAGARTGGGGGCTCTGGGGGCTTTGAGAAGTCCTGGCCAGCTACAGGGGCAGGTACCTGGCAGGTGGTGTAGGCATCCCAGCCCCAAGGTGCCAGGGCCAGCAGCTGGGGCATGTGCTGCTCCACAAATTGCTCACACTGAGGAAAGACAGAAGCAGGGGGTGACCCAGGCCTGAGGCAGCACCTCCCTCCTCAGAGTCCTGGCTCCCGCCCTTTCTAGGCCTCTTTGGTTCCCTCTGGGCCCTGGTGCAGGTCCAGGCACCAGCCCCCAGCAGCTCTGGCTGCTGGGAGCAGGGCAGAGGGTGTGGAATAGAGGGTTTCTGT